CGTCCCGAGCTAAGGGCGTCCTTCTGATGTAGGGGACATCCGCTCCCTGCTGTGGAGCCTGCAGTCTGCAGGAGCTCAAGTCCACCGTGGGCTTGCTCCTGGCTGCAGACCTGTTGAATTCAGGGTAACGAGGTAGCCCGGGGGCTTGCACAGTTACAGCCTCTTTGCTGTGCGTGTTGCGTCGTGATAAGATGAAGGAAAATTCCTAGCGGAGAAACTGAGTGATCTTGATTTCAGGAGAGGGTCTGGCCCGGAGGGAAGCGATCTCACTCCCACCGTCGGCCTGGCCCCATTGTTGCCCTGCACAGCTTCACTTTGTTTTTGTTGCTGTTTTTTAAGGAGGCCATAAAAACATGAAAATGTGGTTATACAGATGCCCCCACCCCCATCAGAGGAAGTGGAAAACCCTGACCTTGATAAGCGCAGTCTGGGAAACGATTTATTGGGAGCAAACCCTTTTGATAAGTAAATAAACAGATGAATGAAGCTGTATGAATGTCAGCCTAACAGAATCCCCACAGGTAGCCGCCTTGGTTTGTATATACTTGCGTGCAGCCAGTCAATGAATTCATCAGTAGTATCAAATACAACAACGCCTTTCTTTCCTTTACCCTAATATTTGCTCCAATGACTTTATGCATAGAAAATAAAAAAAACCCTCAGTATTTCATCTTCTAAATATTTAGGTGTGACTTTCTGATTGGGAATGCTAGGAACTTGAGTCGTTTGTTTATTCGTGTTGCCCCCACTAAAACGCTCTGCTCATAGAGTGAACTTCTGGCCATGGCAGGAATACTTCCATGTGTTAGAACCAGTGAGTTTTCTCAGATTTGAGGGCTAGAAGGTCTCCAGTTACTAATTCAACAGAAACTTGCCTGCAGGTTACTATGACAACAGTTGACATGTTGATGGTTTCTGTCAAATTTTCATGTGGAAATAAAATGTGAAGGCATCTCTAGGGGTCAGTTTTGCATCTTCCCTTTGGTTTTTCTAAGCATATTACGAGGCTGACAGTAGCCAGCTGGATCTTTATTCTGTTACAAAGGGGGGGGGGAAATTAATCCACGTAATTTCTCTTTCACATATGAAATCCATGAGCTTCACGGGCTAATAGGAGTTGCTGAAATATTTGACTTGGTTTAAAAAAAAACAAAAAACGTTTGACAATTACTTTTACAAAGCATTAATCAAGACTATAACCACATTTTAGACACATGGAATGACACTTTTACATGAAATAGCAAATTATTATTTATGGATGCTCCTCTTATGAAGATGCTCTGTTCCAAAGAAATGCAAGCCAGCAGCTATTCATAAGTTAAAAGACGCTAACAAGTTTAATATGCAGACCTTAAATATAAGGTCATTCCTTCGTGGATGCATATAAAATGATGGATAAGGAATTTTGTATTGTTTTGGCACACTGCTTAGATGACCTGGAATAGCCTGAAACTTGTGATGTAGCCCAAGCTGGTCTTGAATTCAAGGTCTTGCCATTCCAGCTTCCTAAATATTGGGGACACAGGCCAGCACCTAAGGAAATACACATCTTTAGCCAAAAGAATGGGGCCAGACCTGTAAGATCTTTGAGGATCACTGAAAAGTTCTTATCCTCATTTCCTGTTTGGAGTTGGAAGAAAAGGCTGGAGGAAACACCCACCTCTTCTTCCCTTAGAAGCACCCACACTTTAGAAACCTGCTCATCAAAATGTGTTAGGTCCACATTAACGGCTCAAATACATGAGCGATAAGAGGGAAAATGGAAACTAACTTATCTTTGTGGGATATGCATTCAGAGGGAGCTGTTTTCTCTTTCCCTTTCTTAAGGCTGTTTCTTAGAATCTGTATATCCAAAGCACTAGACCAGACAGGATCAGTTAACATATTTAGGAAACAGATTGTGACATCGTGGCTGAGAAAGGTCCTGTCACCCAGGCTGGCCTCAAGTTGGCTCTGCCGCTTCGAGTGACCTTGAACTTCTGAACTTCTTCCCAAATTTTGGGATCAGAGGTGTGTGCCACCATGCCTAGCACAAACATAACTTTACAAAGGAGAACAGTGAGTGAATTCTGAACACCGGTGCCACCGAGTTTAACACATACAAAAATGAGATTTTGAGTTTATGGTCATAGTCTGATGGAGGATTTCAGACAATGGGAGTCCTTAGCCCTTAGCCCGTGGGAAAGCTGTAAGGCTTCCCATGATCAGCTGTACTAGAGAGCAACCACAGCGAACATGTCAGAACTTCTGTTGTGACAGTTTGTCAGGCTGTGTGTCAAGTTTTGAAGACCAGAACTCCATGTTTTTAGAGTCATTAAAGCAGCCAGAGCCTGGGGACAAATGTGCCTAGGTTGGGGCTGGGGGAGGGGAGTCAAGAACTTAAGCAAGGTTTTTTCATTTGCTGTGTGTCCCATGAAGAATGTGTGGACAGCTGGCCCTCACTTTCCTAGAAAGTGGAAGCCTAGGTTGGGAAAGTGTCTTAAGGGCTGTCAGGCTGCACAGCCCCATCTGAGTGAAAGAAATGACTTGTTTTGATGGAGAAGAACCAGGGCATCACAGGCACAAGGGACAAGAAGACACATCATAGCTCAGTACAATAGGTGAGGACGTTCTCCTAATTAGAAAACGCTGCCTAGGAATGACACTACTTACAAAGGAAATAAACGGATCTTGAAGACCCAGAATTGACCAATCGGACACAGAATGGTTAGCTAACAGAGGAAAATCTACAATAGCGAGGAGATTCCCTTGACTGGTCCCCTACCCAAGGCCTTTCCCAAGTTTACATTTCTTTGGGTATTAGGAACCCAGATGCTGAGCTGACAGTGTAACCTGTGACACAGATGCCTGCCTACCAGCATGAGTGAGGCCGTAGATTCAATTCCCAGCACGGCATAAAATTCAGTCAACAAGAACCGCAGACACCGTGACTAAGCAGCGCCCCGTGTACAACGAGCAAAGGCACATGCTGGTGTGTGTGCACCATTAGTGTTAGGACCTGGTTATAAATGGACGTGCCTGAGATCATCTTTAAAGAGGACTTGGAATGTGCAGCCCACCGCATTCCTTTTGTGTACTAGGGCATCACACCCAGCAAAACCTAGAAGTATAATTTGGATATTATGTATGTATGGACTTTTGAATCATGTGTACCTGCTATGTGGCTTACCCTGTGATCCAGTGTGAACGGAGGTGAAATGAAACCTTGAAATCAACAGCTGAGTTGCCTGGCGATGGAGTTGACTGATATGAATGTGTATGGTTCATTGAAGAGATCCCAAAGTGCCTCTCCCCATTGTGTGGTTTTGTGTGTCAACTTGACATAAGCTAGTTTCATCGGCTAGGCAGGAGCCTCAATTGAGGAAATGCCTCCATGAGACCCAGCTGTAAGGTATTTTCTCAATTAGTGATCAATGGGCTAGGGCCCAGCCCATGGTGGGTGGTGCCATCCCTGGGCCTGTGGTCCTGAATTCTGTAAGAAAGCAGGCTGAGCAAGCCAGGGGAGGCAAGCCAGTAGCAGCACCCTCCACAGCCTCTGTATCAGCTCCTGCCTCCAGGATCCTGCCCTGTTTGAGTTCCTGTCCTGACTTCCTTCAGTGGTGAACAGCAATGAGGAAATGCAGTCTGAACAAACCCTTTCCTCCCCAGCTTGCTTTATGGTCATGGTGTTTTGTCAAGGCAATAGAACCCATAACTAAGACGATGTGTATTTATGTGTTGAGAATTTCTAAGCAGTAGTAAATGCATTTATTCACATAGCATTTATTATCAACTATGCCAAACAACAATCTATTCATAAGGACATAGCAGAGGAAGTATTTTAAAGGAGATGCCATTGCCGTGCAGTGGTGGCTCAGGCCTTTAATCATAGCACTCAGGAGGCATAGACAGACTGATCTCTGTGAGTTGGAGGCCAGCCTGGTCTATACAGCAAGTTCCAGGACAGGCTCCAAAGCTACACAGAGAAACCCTGGACATGCTTGATGGTCTTTGTGTCTCCAGATCCATGGCTACCAGCTGACACTCCTGTAACAACATTATGTGTACACATATTTTAAAACCAAACAGTTCTAAATTATTTTTTAAAGATTACTTGTATTTTTAATTATGCATTTGTGTGTTTGGAGCTGTGTTCCCATGAGTGAAGTACCATGGAGACCTGAAGAGTACTTTGGATTCCCGGGCAGTTATGAGCCACCCAATGGGGTGCTGGGAGCCAAACTCAGGTCTCTTGAATGATCAGTGTTGCTCTTAAGCATGACACTAACCTATCCCTCCTGCCCCAGCTCTAAATTCTTAAGTGCCAACTGTACCTTACTCCGTGGTTTAGAGTGAGTTCCTATGGCCCTCTCACAGGGCAGTGGTGAAAACCAAACTAGAAGATGCATACCTCATGCGGTTTGGTGGTAACTGACAACCGGATGGAATTCTGGAAATCACCTGGGAGATGGACCTCTGAGCTTGTCAGTGAGAGGTTAGCTTCGTGGTGAGCAGCAGCAGGCTGTGTCTTCTGGTTGTAGGTGTGATGTGACCAACTGTATCACACTCCTACTGTCTTGACTTCCTGCCTGCCATGAGACTATACATTGCTTTTGCCACCGTATTTCATCACAGCAACAGGAAAAGAAACTAAGATGAAGGGTGACTGGTGTGTACCTGGTGTTTCACACATGTTAGTTTCGTTTCTCACTTAGAATCCCAAATCTCTTTTCTTTTAAGGACTGTGGACCCTTTGGTGATTGACAATGACACAGTGAACCTAAGGCCTGCCAGCAAAGCCATCTTCTCACATCTTGAGTCTGATCAGTACCTCCCGTCATCACCAACCATGGCTAAGAGTGCAGAGGTCAAACTGGCCATATTTGGGAGAGCAGGCGTGGGCAAGTCAGGTGAGCTCTTTCTTGTGGCATTTATAGGATCTGTGAGTTTGTCACGGCTTTGGGAATGGGGTAGGTAAGTAGCCCTGCTGTCCTCCCTCTGTGTCTACAAGTCTTATTTTTCACAATCAGCTCAGGAATTCTTCTACTTACTTATGACAAAGTAAATTTGCCGATAAAGTACAAGGCACTGAATAGGTCATAGACAGCATCCAAAGAAGTCAAATTGTGGAAATTTCATAAAATATCTGTTCTTTCCTCACTATGGAAGACCTCAAGGGGTCAGTTATATGTCTCGTCTATTTGTATACTCTCAACAAAATGGTCCAAGGTCAAGCAGATGTCAGGGCCCCAGTAAGTGCTTGTTGAATGAATCTATCTTTGTCGGTGACAGAATTGTTTTCTTGCCCAGTCTTCTATTGAGGAAGAAGGACACTTGAAATTAGGCGTGCAAACTTCCAAGCCAGAGGGCTATGGCCAGGCCTCCAGAGCGAATTTAAATTAGCAATTCTGATTAAGATCAATAATTGAGAACCCTCTTTTATTTGTGGTGCTAAGAGAATGTTCAGAGCTCTCTTTTATTTGGTAGTGCTAAGGGGGTGAAAGCCCCTGTACATGTTAGGGCATCACTCTATCCCTGAACAACAGCTCCAGCCCTGGGTTCCTTGAGACAGTCTCATAAAAGAGACCAAAAATCATCACTTACTTCCAATGCTTAAAATTAAGCATCTGCTAAAGGAGATGTTCCCCCACTGCCCAGACAGACACCTGCCCAGAAATAAACGGGCTAATCCCCACACAGGTAATCTAGATGCTCTTAAAGAAACACACACACACACACACACACACACACACACACACACACGCCTTCCTTCTAGTTCTGTGGCCGGCCTCCTTCTAGCCATCTTCCTGGCTGTCTCAGCAGCTATCTGCCCTGCTGTTAAGTCTTGTCTCTGTTGGGTTTTTCTCGGCTCTTTTTCTGCCACCTTGCTTCTCCTCCACTGTTCTTGCCTCTGGCAGAATCCAAACAAGGGAAACAGCAGGCCAGGACTGAAGATGCCCAAGCTCCTCCCCTTTAATCTCCTTTGGTTTCCCAATGGCATGAGAACCTCAGTCTGTAGCTGGTAGAAGGAACTGGAGAATGAGGAAATTGCCCCAGGGAGTGTCTCTGGTGGAAGGAATGGTGTACGTGGGATGGAGAGAAAGAGAAAGGTGCTCTGGGAGCGGGGTGGGGTGGGGTGGGGAGTGGGGGGCTTGGGAAGATTGCTTTCTTCCTTCCCCCCCATACCTCCAATAGGAGAATAAGAGGAAGAGTTCTTCCAAGCCTTCCTGCATGGTTTGAAAAGCTGAACATAGGGCTGGCAACATGGCTGGAGGGTAGGAGGGCTTGCTGCTCAAGCATGGGACACCTGAGCTGAATCTCCAGCACCAGCGTAAAGAGCTGGGCGTGGCTAGCACATGCCCTGCCTTAGCTATAGGTGATGGAATAGGATTGCCTGGGCTTGCTGGCAGCCAGCCTCGCTCCAGGCTCCATGAGCCTTTCTCGGGGAAATTAGACAGTGAGAAAGCAGAACACCTAAGGCCTTGCTGCTGCTTCTGCACACGCCACACCCCACACATCCCCGCACGGCCTGCACACACACCGCTCCCCCAAACACGCCACACCCCGCACATCCCCGCACGGCCTGCACACACACTGCTCCCCCAAACACGCCACACCCCTCACATCCCCGCACGGCCCACACATCCCCGCACGGCCCACACATCCCAGCACGGCCTGCACACACTGCTCCCCCAAATAAATACACATTTTAGTTTCCAAGATAATACAGGCATGAGATGCAGCCTCAGGGAAGAAGTGCCCGGTTTGTGAATGCCCCATCCACACCCCATCTTCAGCCCCTCAGAGTGAACCGGACCCCCCCCCCCATCCAGCCGGACTCACTCACTACCTGAGATTCCTTTGTGGATCTCCAAACTACTTTCCATTATTGTAGCACCTGGACCCATCGTCCCCTTCCTGAGCCACCTACCATCTGGGCATTGTGTTCCCATCTTATCTTTTTGCTCATTCGCTGTTTAAACATGTTGACCTGCTGCTGTAGCCATTCCACAGAAACTGCTCTGCTGCTGAGCTCACTAGACATCAGTCTCCAAGAAAGTGATTTAACAAACCTATCATCCTTTTAAGATTCTTTCAGTGACTCTTTGTGACCTCTCTTCCCCAAGGTTCCTTCCCAGTGGGTTGGGGCATTGCCCTACCTTCTGGCTTTCTGGGTTCTTCTGTTGACTCTAACTAGCTGTGCTCTGCCTGGCTCTGACCTTGGGTCTTCTGGGGGTCTGGATGATAACTAAGACCCCAGACTGTTCCTGTTTCCCATGGGTGATTCTCCATGTCCCGGGAGAAGATGGTGCCCGCTCTAGGGGAACAAGTTTGGATAATCTGAGCTTTTTTATTTTTCATTTTGAAAGCAGAGGCTGAAACTGCTCGTGAAGGTCCTTACCAGATGTGTATCTTGATTGTGAGTAAATAAATCTTTTCGGATCCACTTCTGTGTCCTCACTGCAGATATGTTCCTCACTGTTCTCACACAACATTGTAGGGTGTGTGTGTGTGTGTGTGTGTGTGTGTGTGTGTGTGTGTAGAGAGAGAGAGAGAGAGAGAGAGAGAGAGAGAGAGAGAATTTGTGGAGATCAGAGTATTTGTGGGACATAGTTCTCTCCTAAAGGAGACGTTGAAGAGGGGAGTTGAACTCAGGATGTCAAGTACCCATTGCCTTTGAGTCATCCTGCTGGCCCAGTCTCATCCACTTTTGTTTCTTCCTGTTGCAGTGAAAATGACAAGGACAGACAACCTGTCTTTAACATAACTCTGTAGGCAGACTAAGTGTTCTTATTTCAACATCTGAATGCTTCCTTGAGACCTGAACCACGCCCCTCATTGAGAAGGCAGCATAGTCTAGATGGAGGCCTGGGAGACAATTCTGAACTTTTCCACAGCTGGGTGGAAACAACCACAGACTGATCTATCAGTTTTGAAAATACAGTGTAGCAATACTGAGCTCATGTTTACTCTCCTTTCTTAAACTGTCCCTACCTGATTTCTGCCTGGTCATGGTACCATATAGCTACCCTCCAGCCTAAAAGACTGATTGCATTTGTCTTGTAAGTAATCTTAGCTTACTCTCCTCTCTCCCTCCCCCCTCTCCTCTCTCTGTCTCTCTCACACACACACTCTCCCTCTCTCCCTCTCTATCTCTGTATGTGTGCCCACGCACACTCTTGTACATATGTGTACATGCATGTAGAAGTAAGAGGTCAACCTCAGAAATCTTGTTTTTTGAGACAGTTTCTCTTGTTGGCCAGGAGTTTGTTATTTGGCTAGGTAACTAGCCAGTTGGCCCTAGGAATATGCCTGTTGCTAACTCCCCAATGCTGGGATTACACCAGCATGCCATGGGTTTTGAGTTTGGAATCCGGGGTCTTCTTCCTTTGCAAACCAGGACTTCATCAGCTGAGCCATTTTCCCAGGCCAACTTTTCCTTGTTTAAATCTGTAAGAAATCATACATACTGCAGTGTCCTCCAGTCATGACTTACTCAGGTAAGCCTGCAGAGCCTAGCTTGATCCTCCCCTGAGTCCACACAATCTAATCTTTCTCCAGGTGACTGGAGTACCTCCCAGGGAGCCAGCCTTAGAGACTGAGCATCTCTGATTTGACTTGGTCTGAATTGTTTCAGGGGCTTCAGGCTCACTTCACCCCTGTGCTTTCTCACCCACTCCCTGATGTCTTGGTACCCAGGGTCTGTAAACCACGTTGTCTCTGTCTCTGTACTGTTTGGGATTTATATCATTCTGAGTCTTGAGCTCTGGGCATGTGCTATGATGTTCGACTTCTAAGTCCCCCCTGTATTTGCTCTGCGAACTTGGCAATGTGAGGCAAGCCATCCCTCAATTCTTTAAGCTACGGGAAACACAGTGTAGTGTCTATGTCCATCTCTGTGATCAAAACTGAGCCATTACATGCAAGTGTTTTAGTGCAGGCATGACACACAGCAGGTGTGTGTGTGCTATCTCATCTTATTAGGATGTTTCATGTATGCTTTTGATTTCTAAGTTCCATGGTGAATAAATTATATCTAAAGTAAATGTATATTCTACTGGGTATTTTGTTTTATCGCTGAAAACCAAAAGTCTAGAGTAAGGTAAAACTATGTCCTTACTCAGCAATACCAACACACACACACACACACACACACACACACACACACACACACGCACACAGAGAGGGATGGGGAGAAACAGACAGAGAGAGAGAGAAAGATGAGAGAGAGAGAGAGAGAGAGAGAGAGAGAGAGAGAGAGAGAGAGAGAAAGAGAGAGTTCTCTTTTATGAGTCCAAGACCTGGTTCATGTCAATTACAGCTTGGCCACTGATGGTTATAATCCTACTTAATAGCTTTATATTAAACCATGGGAAAATAATTAGAAATATGAAGTTTCACCAGTATATCAACAGTCTTGCATTTGAAAGTGGAAGACTTTCTAGTCCCAAGTGATAGACAAGTTTTGGGTTTAAAAAAGAATTGAACAGAACTTCCCAATTGACAGGTTGACCATGGAAACGTCAGCAAGGGCACAGTAGACCAATAACAGAAGTGAGGATTGCGTGTATGACCCGTATGTGACAGCATGCTCGTGGCTTAGCGGGGGACACAGACTCTTCACCCAGTCTAGCTTCACCATGCAGGCTTGTCTTCATGTGAGCTTGCTGGCTGAGGGACAGCATGCTGAGCACAGTGGGGGTGTGACAAAGTATAGGCTATGGTTTCCCAGCCTTTCCAGTCTTCTGCCCCAGCAGGGTAAACATTTCCCTTCACTAGCCAATGGTAGACCATGAGTAATGTGGCTTGCACACTTCCCTCCTGAGTGTCTCAGTTTATATTTTGACAGGTTTCAAGTAATTAAGCAAAAAGACATGCCAAACCCCGAAAGACACCAGACATACACTTT